AACAGTGACGTGTTATACGTCATACATTGTATTCATTGTAATAAGTTGATCCTCACGAGTTGATGTCATGGCTCCTAGCTAATAGGACGACCTTCTTCGCGCGTTTTTCCCCTTAATTACCGTGGTCCTGATTGAGCTTATCCAGCGACTCGAGTTTTACAATCGGCCCCTCGTTTATCGGAAACTCCCACGCTATATCCTCGCTGGTCTGTCTCGAGGAGTCCTGTTGCCGGGGTCCGCTCGTCTGTCCCCTGCTACTACCCTCGTGTCTACTCTACGATCGCTTATTGAATGAGCTGTATCTACCGCAAGGTACGCTTTTGTCAACGACGTGTTACGTATTCTTTCCATGATACCGATTTACGTAATCACGTTTGACATTGTCGATATTGTCGTTTGACATTGTGGATACAATTAGACGGGTCATTGTTGATCGAAATTCATTGCTCTGAGCCTTACGAGTACATTTGCCAACAGCACTCATGGCTGATTATTCCCTCTCGGAGATTGTTGATATGCTCCTTGTTCTTGGAGAATGTCATATGAATTATCATGAAGCTTCGCGAGTGTACCAGAATCGTTATCCCGACAGGGCACAACATCCGAATCATTCCGCAATGTATTACATTGAACAAAGAGTTCGTCAAAGCCGTCTCTTGCGTCAAAGAGCACATCATGTGTATAATGAAGACGATGTGCGTGTCCTTGTTGTCTTGGCAGCTATACATCTTAATGCTCATATAAGTACCCGAGTTATGGCTAGAGAAATTGGCATTCCAAGAACAACGATCCGGAGAATTTTGAGGCAAAGGAATTATCATCCTTACCATGTAACCCTTACGCAGGCTCTTACACAAAACGATATGCAGTTGCGGGTACAATTTTGTCTATGGGCGCAACAGATGATCAGAGCTGACCAGAATTTCTTCTATCATGTTATGTTCTCTGATGAGTCAACGTTCAAAAATAATGGTGAAATAAATAAACATAATTGTCATTACTGGTCGAATGTTAATCCCATTGGCATAGACAAGTAGATAACCAGCATCGCTGGAGTGTAAATGTTTGGTGTGGGATTATAAACGGTTACTTGATTGGTCCTTATTTCTTCGACGGAAATGTTAATAGAGAAAATTTTTTGGAATTTCTCAGGGATCATTTACCACAATTACTCGAAGACGTTGATCTCCATACACGACAGAGAATGCAGATACAACTAGACGGGGCGCCTCCACACTATGCGGTAATAGTAAGAAATTTTCTGAATCAGAAATACAATAACAGGTGGATTGGACGAGGTGGACCTGTCCCGTGGCCCCCTCGATCACCTGATCTGACTTCACCCGATTTCTTTTTATGGGGGTATGTAAAAAATGTGGTTTATGAAAATGTGCCTACAACTAGAGAAAATATGATGGAAAGAATACGTACAGCTTGCGTGAATATACCGCGCGCTGTCTTACTTCAAACGGTCAGAAATTTCGAAAATAGATTAGCTTTATGTATCCAAAGTAATGGAGATAATTTCGAACAGTTCATTCGATAGAAAGATCTGTCGAATCGTG